TGACTCGCATTTTAGATTTAAATGTATTTTTGTGTTGTTTTTAGCACTTCAGGGTAGTGACCCGGACTGGTACACAGCCCTGATCAATGTGCTGGACGGTGAACAGACTAGGGCATTACAGGATGTATTTGTACAAGCTGAACAGAGAAAAAACGCTTTAGGTGAGTCACGGGGACCCTTCCAGCAGAGGGTTTCTTTCACTTGGTCGATTTTTGCGTACTCGAGAAAGACTCTGTATGAATCGAGTTAAATCTTTGTTGAGCATGCGCTCCAGGTTGCTAGGATAAAGTTTCAAACCCAGGCCTAATAGCCGTGTTCATGGTACAGCGGCCTCTGTTGTAACCATTAGTTTATTAATAAGTGAATGCTCACACTCGAAAAACCAGTTTGACGAGAGGAAACAAGATTGAGTAGTCGAGAAGTTCTTGCTACGGCTTCTTCAAAGGCTTAACGCGATTCAGGCAGAGTCTCCTTTTTTCACCTGATTGATTTTGGAAGCAGCAGTAAAATGTCGTCACGTGCTAATGGCCCATCAGGGAAACTAATTAGAATATACCCCTCGTTCCCAGGGTTCTCTCTCTTTCTTCGAGAAACTACCCTGATTGCGGCTGGTCACGTGAACACCCAAAATCTAGGGGCTAACAAGAATTTACCTCAAGGGAGGGGTGGTAAAATTCTAAAATTGTCGCTGTTGTGAGAAAGACACAAAATACACTGTTGAGCTTGTAGGCTAGAGAGGCATTACTTTGAAGTATATCGGTCACAAGAACAAGTTTATGGCCAAGGTTTTTCCTATTACACACGTGCTTTTGCCCTGAAAATGGTTCAAGTCGTTGTTGACTCGCAGAAAGTAAGGTTTACGTTGAAAACTTTCGATTCTTTTTCGTAGTGGCATAAAGCGAGGCCGTTTACCGATCGATTCAGAACGGCAAACTTAGGCCGAATACATCAGTAATGATTACTGCCTCAAGTTTTAGCTCATATCCTGATAATGCATTAGCCCTACCCTGATGAGGAGTTCATTGTTACAGGTAGTCACATGACTAGTCGCAACCAGGGTTCTTTCTCGAGCAAGAGAAAGAACCCTGGGAACGAGGTTGTTAGAATATCCTCTCAATATAGATTTATCCAGCGCATAGACTCTGGACGAAAGTGACATCGTGGAGCAAATTTCTTGTCTGAGGAAACAACTCGTCAGTTTGAGCTCGGACCTACGGATCAAGAATGCGCGAAAAACGAGCTCACTGTGTTCTTTATGAATCCCCTGAGGATTCGCGCACAGTCGTGCTGTTCACGTTGGTCGCATGCATTATAACTCGTTAAAGTATGCGCTTGAGGGTAATGCGCCTTCTTTATGCAGTTATAGTGAACTTCTTTCCAGCAATCATAATGCGGTCGTAGTAAAGAATGATTCCAGAGAAGACCTTGCACCTGTTTTGGTTCTTTTTTTTCTCAGAAGGCAAAAGACATCGCGAAGACAACTAATTTCTTTTTAGGGCCTCTGTACTACACACTTCTTATATCGTACTTTTGTTCTGCTCGTATTCACCAGAGTCCAAGAGGATCGAGCAACAAGGAGGCTATATGTTCACAAATATGGCTGTGCCACAAACATTCAACTTTGGACAGTAAGAGAAGCAACTTCAGATAACACCTTGGCTTACTCAGATGCCGGCAAGTTGAACTTGATCACTACTTGTTTGACCTATTTGAAGATTGTTAAATAACGTGCACATGATTTCGCGTGACGTGGACGTGCGTTACTCGCTTGCGCCTTGCTTTGCCTCGTGTGACAAGCCCTGGTTTGCTTACCTTGGGAACTAATAAGAACAGCAATTCCTTTCGACTCAGACGAGAAATGACCTGGGATCAGTTTTAATAAAACTTTTACAAGTGTATTTTACAAATGTAGCTACTGTTTTAAGACACTAACACAATGGCTACACTTGTAAATTACACTTGTAAAAGTTTATGGAATTGACCCCTACTTTGTGTCAGTGCGGCGTGGTTGGTTTAACAATATTATTTTCTGAATTCCGACAAGGAACTGGAGCCGAAATGCGTCCGGTAGTTCTGGGATCGTCACTGGGGAGGTGCCAGTCAGCTATTAGGGAGAGCTCAGTTAAGCAACAACGACGGCGACGTCGACGGCCACGAAAACGTCATTTAGAAGTGAATTTGCGCTTCTTCAAACTGTCTCGCGCTTATTCCATCTCGTCGAATATTGGCAATTTTTTGGGGGAGTTGAGTTCTAGAGGACTGTATCAAAGTTCAGGAAAAGAAAAGGAAAGTTGTTGTCTTGTGTTCCCGTCCTCGACGGAAACACAAGAGGCACGTCGTAGTCGTGCAGAGACGGCAAAGAAATGTACAAAAAAGCGTGATGCACGTGCAGAGTTGTTGTTTGCTAATCTAAACCTATTGCGTTTTTGCCGTTCTCGTTGACGTCGCCGTCGTCGTTGCTTAAGCTCTCTATTGGGCAGTCTTTAAGACGTAAGTAACAGTCCCAGATATCTTTGCGAAAGTTAATTTGGCCTAGCCTTAAAGAGGCGAATTGTGATTGATTTTGATGCCATGGTCGCAATTTCCATTGATTTACCAGACCAGAGGTACAAACGTGATTTGTTTGTAAATTTGTACACAATTCTGTCCTACTATATCAAGAGACTATTGTCTCGCACACTCTAGGATAGTGAAATTTCTTCTCCCTACTATCAAGTGTGAGGTGGTCGATTGTCAGTTTTTCACAAATGTAAATCTGGTAACAGTTTTCAATTGCCTATATAAGGAGCATTCTTTCCCACTAAGATTTCGTGAATCTGGCATATGTCGACCCGAGGAGCCTGCTTAGAAATCACTAAAATCAGTTCACACTGGTAGCTTTCGCTGCGACTCGCAAGGAAATCCATGACAGTCCCACGCCGTGGATTCCGGTATCGAGATACTGGATACGAGTTTATTGTCAACGGATCTTGGATTTCGGATTCTAATCGTAAGTGAGATTGCAGATTCCTTGAGCTGTATTCCTTATTCCAAAGCCCAGGATTCCGGATTCCACAAGCTAAAATTTCCTTGTTCAGGATTCTCCAAGCTAAACTTTCCCAGATTCTGGAATCCGTATTACCTCACATAGGGCGACAGGGTAATTTTTACTGATTTTTCTGACGCATCAGGAATCTCAGGCGGTGTCAACTCGTTTCTGTCTTTATACGCTCTTCTTGTCTCGTCACGCAACGCTACCTCCCCCTGTGTGACAAGACAAAGAACCAGGTTACGTGGGAGACTTCCTTGAAAAGGACTCGAATGAACATACCCGCAGTGACGTCATCGGCTGTTCCCACAAGTGAACGTGAGAGAAAAGTCGCAGCGAACATCGCCCGCGTGAACGCCCGATAAATTTTGGTACTCGCCTAAGAGTTTGTGGGCTGGTAACACTACTCGCGACCTTGCCAAGTCAGCATAAATTGTCAGGGTTTGTATAGGATTTGAGCGAACTCGTTAGCTCTTGGTTCCTGGGCTGGGCCCATGATTAAGGTTGTGATTGAAACTGGACGTGTAGTGTGAGTCTCCATTTGAACATATGTCCAAGATCAGAACTTGGGAGGTCTGGGGAATGTATATGGGCTACTACTAGGGTGCTGAGGCAAAGGCGATTTAGCGACTGCGTCAACCGGAAGTGGACTTATACACACTTGGGCAGTGGTTTTGCCCATATTTTCGGCCAGATTATCTCTATAAGAGTAAAAGGTACTAAGCAAATCAAGCCAATACAAATTCAGTAGCGTCAAGGCATATTAAAAGGCAAAAGGCCTCACCTCCGATGACGTCGTCGGTTGATGAAAAACGCCTTTGCTTAAGCTGCCTACTATCCCGTTGTCTGAAAATAAATCTTGGTTTCGAACACGGAAATGAAAAACGGGAAAGAGGGAAAGAAGAAAATTTATTTTCCGATTCGTATAAGCTTTATTATAGCGAAGCAACGCTCATATTAAACTTATTTCAGTCGTCTATTTAATTACGAATTATTTTTATGTTAGAAAAGTTGCTGTAATTAACTTATTGTAGGACTTGATAGTTTATCGCTCATTAGAAAGTTTAGTGACTTGAAAACATGTAGAATTTCCGATGAAGAAATCATTGTTGAAAACTTATTAAACTAAAAGAGAGAAAAGATAACTTGTTTCAAATTAAATTTCCCACGGCATTTGTTTAACGTAAATATTATTTTTGTGTAGTGGAATTTTTTAACAACAAACGATGAGTGCCCAACAGCGAATTTAAACGCTCAAAACGAAACTGTTTTTAGCCGTTAATAAGCGAAAAATATATATAACGCTCAGGCTTCTTTGAAATACTTATCTGTGAATAGATCTTTGTCACACGGCGGCCATTTTGTCTCAGGAGATTTTAAAGAGCTTTGTTTATGCACGGCTAACCTCGTAGAGAAGAAGAGGCTAGCCTTGCATAAACAAAGTTTTTTAAATCTCCTGAGACAAAATGGCCGGTCTGTAGTTGCGTAACTGGAAAAAAAAATTCGCTCTAACCTTCCAGCCTGACCCATAATAATACTTCTTGTCAAGCCTAGTTTTCGTTCAACATTCAAACTTCTTGCCGTCAGTGCTGCGAAAGTGGAATCATGAGTGAACACATTGTTTTAATGTAGCACGCTTGCATCAGGTCCGCGCCTTTAGATTGCATATAGCGTTTCCTGCGTTACTGTTAGCACTGTTTCACGTTCTTGTAACCCTACCTACTCCCCCTCCCCTTTTTGAAATTGCGCGCTTAATTCGTCTGCTATCAAGTAAGCTGAAATGACTGAAATGGGCGGCTGGCCGGGGAGACCTGGGAGAAAGTGAACTTGGCAATCGGAATGAGGTTCAGTCTTCGCTCGTCCCCTACAATGTTTAGTTGATTCAATCAACCAGTGTTGTAGGAATATTCAAATGTCGTAGCAACATGAATCGTTTAAATAAAGCATTTTCTTGGCGCTAGACCTCACAGCATCACTGCTTATCAAACATCTCACTTAGCGAGCCGCCCCCTTGTTTTCCGTTGGCAGGTTCATCTCCTAATACACAAGATATTTCTACAGCTTCTTCTGGCCCTGCACTTTGGTCCCCTTCGTCTAGGTGAATGGAAAACTCGATAGCTCTTGTCGTACTCTTCTTAAACATAGCATAGTTTAACGTCGCATCGTAAAATAACTCCCTTTGATAGGAATGGAATGTTGAAGCTTCAAAATTGTTCAAGACATTTCCTTTCATTACGTCGAAGCTTTTCTCTTGTCTGGACCGCGTAATTTGCGTTTTCCTTTCTTTTAATGCGAGAAAAATCTTTTCTGTTATGTCAGGAATGCGTAAGCAGTAGGTAACGAGAACTACAAAAATTACTAATAAAATTACCACGAAAGGAATTAAGTGCCACGGAAATGTTAAGGTGGATGTGGTCAAATCAACGGCTGGACTGCTTGGGTCTAAAAGACAAACGTAGAGAATAAAATCAGTATCTGGCAGATTATATTGCCTGTGGTATCTGAACTATTTGGAAACTTCTATGATAGTGCGATCGAACCTTTTCAATAAGGAGAGTGAAGGGCTAAGAGAAGGCTTTATGTTCGCGTTACAAATATGTATATATCTTATGGAGTTTGGCATGAACTGTTTGTAATAAGAAACTTAAAGGGGTTTGTACACGGGAGTTTGTAGAGAAGTTGCAACTGGTTCTTGTACCAATAACTATACTTCTGCTGAAGAAACAGAAAGAGTATCATGTCTAGTCGAACGTCTCAGAGATGGTCGTGACATTTCGGAGACAGGCTTACGCTACATTTAAGTTCAATGCATTTTACTTGGAGGTGAAGGAAGCCTTTAATAAAAGCAAAGTTTAGTATGTTCCTTGCCTTACAGATGGAGACATTCATGCCTGCTTGGACAGATCCAGAACTTTAAGTGGTGGGAGTTCAAGTTTATATCTGAGCTGAGGAAGGGGTACGTGAAGTACGTAGCGAGAAATGTATTTGGCGTAACAAACAGTAGCGCAACGGGGTGGGGGGACATTCGGTAGTGGGGGTCCGGAACACGAGATCTTAAAAAACATTTAGCAGACTGGAAGACTTCAGTAAATAACCACTTTAAACTAGAGTAATTACCACCAATGAGTCGTATGGAATTTTCATTTGGTAGCTCAAATTGAGACTTGAACCAACACGCGTTGCCTTTGCCTCTCAGACATGAATTTAGTTACGGGCACTTAACACAATAGAGTAAAGTTTCAAAGCCTTCAGTGGCCTTTACGGAGAAAAAGAGATACTTATGACTACCTTTTTCTGGTAGAGGCTAATGTAATGAAGTGAGGAAGGGTGAAATTATTAATTAAACAACCCCCCGCCCCCCTTACCCACTGGATCTAACCATGCCTGTTCCTGTTCGTCGAGACTCGACTACCTCCTAAATGCTACGTTATTTAATCACCTGCGTTATCAAGAATACGTTTTTCTCAGTTTTTGGTATGGTTAGTTTAACTTTAAACTGAAAAGGTCAAATCTGTAACCAACCTGTTCTTGATGGAGATATGGTAATGGACAGCCTTGACAATGTGGTACTGACTTGAGAAGTTGATAATGGTGATTGTGTAGATGAACTGGTTTTTATTTCAGCTTGTTCCATCTCGGATCTAGCGGTCCAAGCAAAAGACACTTTAAAGTAGCTTGTTTCTTGTGCTGTTACCATTTGTAACATTTCGGTGGCGTGAATGCTTTCTCTGTTTGCTTGGTGCATGCTGGATTCCATTGCCCTTGGCCAGTGTATGCTGCTTCCTTCACAACACACACTTGTGGTTGACGTCGCTATTGTATGTGAGATGGAAATGGTTTCTATATGTCCGGGGTCTGTTTTTGTTTCTACAGTCTTCCTTCCCCAGGATAATACGGAATTGACCTGGTACGATTCTGAACGAGAACTGGCAACACCCACGTAACTTCCGGATATTAAACTTGTCGCGGATGTTCGTGAAGGGTACACCATTTCTGTATTTTGACTATCGGACGACGGAAAAGCAACATTCGGGTGCGAAATTGACAGCGAAAATGTGTGATCGTCGTGATCGCTTGATCTTGTGACAGCTTTTGAAGATTGCTCAGTCGAATGCAAAATTTCCCTCTTTGTTGCCAGCGTGAATATGTGGTTGCTTGGTCTTGTAACATCTGAAGATAGTGTAACTCCATTTTGAGGAGTATTTAGGGATGAGCTATGCATGGCATTGAAGTTGCTGCGTATCGTTTCAGACATATTTACTGTATAGCGCCATGTAATTTTGCTTTGGTTCTGAGTAGGTGAAATGATTGTCTCTCTTGTGAACAGCAGCGGAGAAGTTTGAGTTGGAGGTACCATCGGAGGAGATGAGGAACCTAGGAGCAAAAGAGATGACGTAAACCTAGGATCATTCTGCTTATTTAACTTAACAGTTTGATAGGTGCAACCCTAAACGGAGACTAGTGGTTGAAAATCAGTGCCTCCAGAAAACCTTCATGCTTGGTAGCTAACGGTGGCTATCAGTTGCAAATCATAAGAATAAACCTATGGTGAATCGGGCAACAAACACGTACAACTGGTTTTGCAACATTGCTGCAAAACGAGTTAAAAAGCGATGTTGCGCATTTTACCACCCGCGAATCAAACCTGCCTTGAAACGAATCACGCAGAATCAGGATGTTGCAGGTTGCGGATAAATTTAGGTTTCTGGGAAACTGCCCACCTACCCCTCCCCTAAGCCATCATTTTGCCCTAAGTGAGAAGTAAGTATTAATGTTAGCTTGGGGAGGGGTAAGTGGGCAGTTTCCCAGAAACCTAAATTGATTCCAGGTTGCCTTTAGTGGAGGGTAGTACTAGTTTCTGCAACAACTATACGGAACTTGAACAAAACAATTTGCTCGTTTTAGTTGCCCGATTTACCCTAGCTTAAGCTAGGGCTTATGTGAAATTCAACGAGCTTCAACTTCACCTATTTTTATTCTGAAATCTAGTGCTTTCTTTCCCTGTAATAGTTACCTGCTTGCTGACAAAACTGGCCAAGCGTTGTCAAGGTCAACATGCTATTTTGAGTTTGAATACGCCTTATACTTGATGCTTCAACACTATTATAGATACTTGGTAACAACATCACTGATGACTGAAAGCTAGTCAGTTTAACATAACTCGTGGTAGTAGGATAAACGTTTTCCCCATCGACATTTGGCCTCCAGGTCGATTGCATTGTGCTTTTAGCTGTTGAAAAAGATCTCCTTTGAGAGCTGTTGTGGTGATAATAGCCAGGTACGCCATGGGTTCTCCATGTGGACTGTGCTAAAGTCCTTCTAGTTTGGCTTCTCACAATTGACGACTCTTGTGTCCTATTGTAGTAGAGCTTCCAATTGGTTGAAGTGGGTAACGTGGCTGAAGTCACGCTGACATGCGCAGTAGAAACGGATTCTGTATGTCCGTGGTCCATTTTGGTTACCAAAGTCTTCGTTCTCATTGAAGATTCGAGAATGTCCGGGTGTGGTTCAAAAGACGCCTTACTAGGTAAAGTGTGTAATGTTATTCCATTGCTGTGATTCCTCCATGCTATATGTGACCGCTGTGATATCTGCGACTCTGACCCTCTCAAGCTTGTTTGTAAAGACGTAACATGATGTCCTGGATCCGCCTGTGAACTGCAGTTTCCCAAGATTGTGGAAGAGAGGAAAGGAACAGTATGCGATGTGCTCAGAATCTGCTGTCCTGTTTGCCCAACTTTAGAACTGGAATCTCTGACTAGGTTGCTATTCAGTGTTGAGGCTTTCGGTGACAGTTGCGTCGGTTGCGTCGGTGTCGAAGAATATGACTGATAGACGGAAGATAGTTGGCTATTGTCAACAGTTGAATCTTCTTTAGTGTTTGAAATGTTCGCAGAAAAAATTGTAAGGAGATTAGACCACACTCTTTATTGCAATGCTCGGGCCAGATACTGCCAGCCTTGTTAGTGTTATTCGCAGGTCTAAAGCGGGCGTATGAAAGTAAGTGTAGTTTACTTCTCCATGGGCAAATATCTGAGAACAAAGACCTCCATTGTGCTCGGCAGCTTTAAGTAGCATCCTATATACCGTATTTATTCGATTAACCGCTCTGGGTGCTTATTAAATTTTTGGACCTTGCGAGTGGGCGCTTATTCGACGCTGGGCGTTTATTAAATTTTCACCATTTTCAGCTCAGCAAGAGTACTATGTTGACTTCGCAACAAAACGCAAAGATGTAACAAAGCAAGGTTTCTGTAAAATACTCTGAAGAAACTTACTCTAGTAATGATTCATTTTTTTTCGGGGATGGTAGGGGGAAGGGGGGTGGGCGCTTATTTGAGTTTGAGTGGGAAGGGGAGGGGGCTGGGGTGTTGTGGGCGCTTATTACCTTTTTCTGCCTTAAGGATGGGCGCTTATTCGAGGTTGGGCGCCTATTCGAATAAATACGGTAATTAAATTGTACATTCTTAAACTTTCTAATTAAACAGATTTAAATTCAATACAACCTGAGTCTGTTTCCATGTAATCTTGTTCAAACGATGGAGACGGTCATGTGGACACGCTTTCTCTATCAGGTCAGATTGAGTCGGCCCGCCACCATTTTCAAGCCCGTTTTCAACCAGTTGGCGTTTTATTTTCCAAGTCCCACGCCATCCGAATGCCGGCGATTCAGGTCGTTTATTGGAAACCTTTAGATTCGAGGACTAGATAAGTCCTCTCCTGATAGCAAAATGATTAAACTTCTATTATTTGATTACTTGTTTTCGTCACTACGACATTTTCGCTAAAACCCGTCGGAGTAGAATGACGTTGGTTCACGCGCGCGCACTACCTTTTATTGAGAAAATCTGGTTCTCGTAGTCGTCCTAGTCTTAAAATCTCAGGGTCGGTTATTCAAACAAAGTCTAACTCAGGCCGCGGTTTAAGAAATCATTGGACCTCCAGACCTCTTTCTTAGAGGGTTAATTTAAGAAAATAACTCCTTTTCCAGTCTTCGCTATATGCTTTATTGAAATTCTTCACGATAATTGGTGTTTAGATAAAAGCGTTGGGCAAACTGAAAATGGTTTAGAAGGCGGTTTTGTTAAACACAGGCTAAAGTCCGTTTTAATAACTGGCCCCAAAGGTCTCGCCTTAGACGATTGGACCATCCTTAGATCGACGCATTTGAGAACCTTCTAAAACGAGGGCTGCCTCTGTCTTTTTTCAGGCCAAGCTAATGATGACGAAGAAGAGGATAATGACGAAGGAGAAAGTGACGAAGGTGAGTTTTATTACCCTTCTGACTGACACGCCATGAAACGGAACACAACCTCGAAGAGAAAAGGTTTTAGTATCTGAAGTACGTACCACCCAACGTCGTGTAAAGGAGACCATCGCCCTAAATAAAACGGTCCTTTCCTAAATCGGGACGAGAGGACATGATTGCCACGTCTTTTCTTTCGTCTTAGATGAGCTGGCGAGCGATGAGGACGAAATCAATGAGGACGACGTGCAGTACATCGAAGGTCTTGCTCAGAAGGTACTCATTAGAATTGTTTCGGATTATGAGTACTTTAACCCTTTAAGCCCCAATATCCACATAGAAATTCTCTATACTGATCTTCATACATTTCCTTGAAGAATTAGTTGAGAGAGTTTGATAATAGATCAAAGCATTTTCTCTTTAGTGATCAATTCATTAACTCTCATAACCATTGTCTTGGCAACATATAGATATTGTTAGGAGAAAATTGGGACTTGAAGGGTTAAAGAGCTGTTCGTGCAATGTAGATATGCTCCTGATTTAGCCAAATTTTGCCGCTGGGAACTCTCTATAAAATTGAGCGTAGGGACTAGCCTGTTCCAGGCTCCAACATAATAAGGTGTTGAGATCGTGAAAACAGATGCGAAAAAACGTGCGGGTACTGTGTAAGTATATCTGGAAATTAGATTCTACTGTAATTTGAGGGAGGGCCACAGGTTTGTCAGTATTCTTGTCATTTCGCCATGGGAGTAATTTGTTTCAATTATATTAACGTCGGTTGTTCAGATATATCATTGTTTGACTATCTAGAGGTAAACAATGTCCGACGACTACACTTGGATGATGAAGAGGATATTGAAGACGAGGAAACAGCATTGGCAAACTTCACAACATCAATAGACAATGACGAAACTGATGAATACATCGCCTTTAGGACTTCACTTCAAGGTATGACTGTTTGTAACGACTTTTCCGTGTTCGTGTTCCATAAAAGCTCCCTTTCAATAAAGGCCTCATGCCTTTAACGTCCTTCCCCCATTAGAATGGGAATGTAACGGTTCTTTCGTACTCCCCTAAAAGCTTCAGTCTCTCCCCTTTCTAGGTTTCTGTTAAATTAACTTCAGACCTGACCTTTAAGCAGAAATTTTGTCATGATTACTTTGATTATAGCGCAAACAAAAAATTTCCTCAAACTATTTCGTTCTTATTCATTTGGAATTGAAACGATAAATACGTTCATACACTCCCGTAGTTCCCTCGAAAAGCATACCCGATTCCAGACCAAAATAAGCAAAGTCTATACCCGTTTTCAGACGAAAAAGGCCCAAAAACCATACCTTTTGGGGTGGCACATACCTATATGGCTTATGTAAGAGAGTAATGTGGAAAAGCTTTACAGAGCTTTACAAGCTTACAGAGCTTTACAAAGGGACAGGTTCACGGTCAAGCGTATGCTCATTAATTAAATTACTATTTTCTAATTTATTATTAATTCTATCGGTTAATAATCCCACTCACATGTATCCCAGCGATCTCAAAGTGTTTTTCACAGTACAATTGTATTTCATAGTAACCTGAAGTAGGATGGAGGAGTACTAAAATTGCAGAAAAAATTAGTGGATTATGCCAACACTACCAACCTTGAATTTATTGTTGACCTGAAGGTTTTATTCCATGGTTGATTAATTTACAGCTATTTGCACCTAAGTTGATCAAGTGACTGCCAGGGGAGTGTGCAGATTGGTTCTTTGATAACATTATGACATGATCATATTGCTTGCATAGACGATACAGCATGTCCCGGCAGAAAAACAGCATTTTGATAAATGAGCATGCGCTGAACCGTGAACGTGTCCCTTTACATGAATGAAGATTTTATCACCATGACTCACATTTTAGATTTAAATGTATTTTTGTGTTGTTTTTAGCTCTTCAGGGTAGTGACCCGGACTGGTACACAGCCCTGATCAATGTGCTGGACGCTGAACAGACTAGGGCATTACAGGATGTATTTGTACAGGCTGAACAGAGAAAAAACGCTTTAGGTGAGCCACGGGGACCATTCCAGTAGAGCCTTTCTTTCACTTGCTCGATTTAGACTTACTCGGGAAAGACCCTGTATGAATCGAGTTAAATCTTTCTTGCGCATGCGCTCCATGTTGCCTGGATAAAGTTTCAAACCCAGGCCTAATAGCCGTGCTCTTGGTACAGCGGCCTCTGTTGTAACCATCAGTTTTTTCAATAAGTGAATGCTCACACTCGAAAAACCAGTTTGACGAGAGGAAACGAGATTGAGTAGTCGAGAAGTTCTTGCTACAGCTTCTTCAAAGGCTTAACGCGATTCAGGCAGAGTCTCCTTTTTTTCACCTGATGGATTCTGGAAGCAGTAGTAAAATGACGTCACGTTCAAATGGCCCATTAGGGAAACTAATTAGAATATCAACCTCGTTCCCAGGGTTCTCTCTATTTCTTCGAGAAAGTACCCTGATTGCGGCTGGTCACGTGAATCCCCAAAATCTGGGGGCTAACAAGGATTTACCTCAAGGGAGGGGTTGTAAAATTATAAAATTGTCGCTGTTGTGAGGAAGACACAAAATACACTGTTGAGCTTGTAAGCTAGAGAGGCATTACTTTGAAGTATATCGGTCACAAGAACAAGTTTATGGGCAAGGTTTTTCCTATTATACACGTGCTTTTGCCCTGAAAATGGTTCAAGTCGTTGTTGACTCGCAGAAAGTAAGGTTTACGTTGAAAACTTTCGATTCTTTTTCGTAGTGGCATAAAGCGAGGCCGTTTAACGATCGATTCAGAACGGCAAACTTAGGCCGAATACATCAGTAATGATGACTGCCTCAAGTTTTAGCTCATATCCTGATAATACAGTAGCCCTACTCTGATGAGGAGTTCATTGTTACAGGTAGTCACATGACCAGTCGCAACCAGGGTTCTTTCTCGAGCAAGATAAAGAACCCTGGGAACGAGGTTGTTAGAATATCCTCTCAACATAGATTTATCCAGCACATAGACCCTGGACGAAAGTGACATCTTGGAGCAAATTTTCTTGGCTGAGGAAACAACTCGTCACTTTGAGCTCGGACCTACGGATCAAGAATGCGCGAAAAACGAGCTCACTGTGTTCTTTATAAATCCCCTGAGGATTCGCGCACAGTCTTGCTGTTCACGTTGGTCGCATGCATTATAACTCGTTAAAGTATGCGCTTGAGGGTAATGCGCCTCTCTTTAGGCAGCTATAGTGAACTTCTTTCGAGCAATCATAATGCGGTCGTAGTAAAGAATGATTCCAGTGAAGATCTAGCACCTGTTTTGGTTCTTTTTTTTTTCTCAGAAGGCAAAAGACATCGCGAAGACAATTTCTTTTTAAGGCCTCTGTACTACACACTTCTTATATCGTACTTTTGTTCTGCTCGTATTCACCAGAGTCCAAGAGGATCGAGCAACAAGGAGGCTATATGTTCACAAACATGGCTGTGCCACAAACATTCAACTTTGGACAGTAAGAGAAGCAACTTCAGATAACACCTTGGCTTACTCAGATGCCGCCGGCAAGTTGAACTTGATCACTACTTGTTTGACCTATTTGAAGGTTGTTGAATAACTTGCACATGATTTTGCGTGACATGTACCTGCGTTACTCGCTTCCGCCTTGCTTTGCCTCGTGTAACAAGCCCTGGTTTGCCTACCTTGGGAACTAATAAGAACAGCAATTCCTTTCGGCTCAGACGAGAAATGACCTGGGATCAGTTTAAATAAAACTTTTACAAGTGTATTTTACAAGTGTAGCTATTATTTTCAGACTCTAAAACAATGGCTACCCTTGTAAATTACACTTGTAAAAGTTTATGAAACTGACCCCTGCTTTGTGTCAGCGCGGCGTGGTTGGTTTAACAATATTATTTTCTGAATTCCGACAAGGAACTGGAGCCGAAATGTGTCCGGTAGTTCTGGGATCGTCACTGGGGAGGTGCCGGTCAGCTATGAGGGAGAGCTCAGTTAATCAACAACGACGGCGACGGCGACGGCTACGAAAACGTCACTTAGAAGTGAATTTGCGCTTCTTCAAACTTTCTCGCGCTTATTCGCGCTTATTCCATCTCGTCGAATATTGGCAATTTTTTGGGGGAGTTGAGTTCTAGAGGACTGTATCAAAGTTCAGGAAAAGAAAAGGAAAGTTGTTGTCTTGTGTTCCCGTCCTCGACGGTAACACAAGAGGCACGTCGTAGTCGTGCAGAGACGGCAAAGAAATGTACAAAAAAGCGTGATGCACGTGCAAAGTTGTTGTTTGCTAATCTAAACCTATTGCTTTTTTGCCGTTCTCGTTCTCGTTGACGTCGCCGTCGTCGTTGCTTAAGCTCTCTATTGGGCAGTCTTTTAGACGTTAGTAACAGTCCCAGATATCTTTGCGAAAGTTAATTTGGCGTAGTCTCCTTCTCTTTTCTAAAGAGGCGAATTGTGATTGATTTTGATGCCATGGTTGCAATTTCCATTGATTTACCAGACCAGAGGTACAAACGTGATTTGTTTGTAAATTTGTACACAATACTGTCCTACTATATCAAGAGACTATAGTCTCGCACACTCTAGGATAGTGAAATTTCTTCTCCCTACTATCAAGTGTGAGGTTGTCGATTGTCAGTTTTTCACAAATGTAAATCTGGTAACAGTTTTCAATTGCCTATATAAAGAGCATTTTTTGCCACTTAAGATTTCGTGAATCTGGCATATGTCGACCCGAGGAGCCTGCTTAGAAGTCCCTAAAATCAGTTCACACTGGTAGCTTTCGCTGCGACTCGCAAGGAAATCTATGACAGTCCCACGCCGTGGATTCCGTATTCGAGGTACTGGATACGAGTTTATTGTCAACGGATCTTGGATTTCGGATTCTAATCGTAAGTGAGATTGCGGATTCCTTGAGCTGTATTCCGTATTCCAAAGCCCAGGAATCCGGATTCCACAAGCTAAAATTTCCTTATTCTGGATTCTCCAAGCTAAACTTTCCCAGATTCTGGAATCCGTATTACCTCACATAGGGCGACAAGGTAATTTTTACTGATTTTTCTGACGCATCAGGAATCTCAGGCGGTGTCTACTCGTTTCTGTCTTTATACGCTCTTTTTGTCTCGTCACGCAACGCTCCCTCCCCCTGTGTGACAAGACAAAGAACCAGGTTACGTGGGAGACGTCCTTGAAAAGGACTCGAATGGACATACGCGCAGTGACGTCATCGGCTGTTCCCACAAATGAACTTGAGAGAAAAGTCGCAGCGAACATCGCCCGCGTGAACGCCCGATAAATTTTGGTACTCGCCTAAGAGTTTGTGGGCTGGTAACACTGCTCGCGACCTTGCCAAGTCAGCATAAATTGTCAGGGTTTGTATAGGATTTGAGCGAACTCGTTAGCTCTTGGTTCCTGGGCTGGGCCCATGATTAAGGTTGTGATTGAAACTGGACATGTAGTGTGAGTCTCCATTTTAACATATGTCCAAGATCAGAACTTGGGAGGTCTGGGGAATGTATATGGGCTACTACTAGGGTGCTGAGGCAAAGGCGATTTAGCGACTGCGTCAACCGGAAGTGGACTTATACACACTTGGGCAGTGGTTTTGCCCATATTTTCGGCCAGATTATCTCTATAAGAGTAAAAGGTACTAAGCAAATCAAGCCAATACAAATTCAGTAGCGTCAAGGCATATTAAAAGGCAAAAGGCCTCACCTCCGATGACGTCGTCGGTTGATGAAAAACGCCTTTGCTTAAGCTGCCTACTATCCCGTTGTCTGAAAATAAATCTTGGTTTCGAACACGGAAATGAAAAACGGGAAAGAGGGAAAGAAGAAAATTTATTTTCCGATTCGTATAAGCTTTATTATAGCGAAGCAACGCTCATATTAAACTTATTTCAGTCGTCTATTTAATTACGAATTATTTTTATGTTAGAAAAGTTGCTGTAATTAACTTATTGTAGGACTTGATAGTTTATTGCTCATTAGAAAGTTTAGTGACTTGAAAACATGTAGAATTTCCGATGAAGAAAATCATTGTTGAAAACTTATTAAACTAAAAGAGAGAAAAGATAACTTGTTTCAAATTAAATTTCCCACGGCATTTGTTTAACGTAAATATTATTTTTGTGTAGTGGAATTTTTTTTAACAACAAACGATGAGTGCCCAACAGCGAATTTAAACGCTCAAAACGAAACTGTTTTTAGCCGTTAATAAGCGAAAAATATATATAACGCTCAGGCTTCTTTGAAATACTTATCTGTGAATAGATCTTTGTCACACGGCGGCCATTTTGTCTCAGGAGATTTTAAAGAGCTTTGTTTATGCACGGCTAACCTAGTAGAGAAGAAGAGGCTAGCCTTGCATAAACAAAGTTTTTTAAATCTCCTGAGACAAAATGGCCGGTCTGTAGTTGCGTAACTGGAAAAAAAAAACCCATAATAATACTTCTTGTCAAGCCTAGTTTTCGTTCAACATTCAAACTTCTTGCCGTCAGTGCTGCGAAAGTGGAATCATGAGTGAACACATTGTTTTAATGTAGCACGCTTGCATCAGGTCCGCGCCTTTAGATTGCATATAGCGTTTCCTGCGTTACTGTTAGCACTGTTTCACGTTCTTGTAACCCTACCTACTCCCCCTCCCCTTTTTGAAATTGCGCGCTTAATTCGTCTGCTATCAAGTAAGCTGAAATGACTGAAATGGGCGACTGGCCGGGGAGACCTGGGAGAAAGTGAACTTGGCAATCGGAAGGAAGCTCAGTCTTCGCTCGTCCCCAACAATGTTTAGTTGATTCAATCAACCAGTGTGGTAGGAATATTCAAATGTCGTAGCAACAGGAATCGTTTAAATAAAGCATTTTCTTGGCGCTAGACCTAACAGCATCACTGCTTATCAAACATCTCACTTAGCGAGCCGCCCCCTTGTTTTCCGTTGGCAGGTTCATCTCCTAATACACAAGATATTTCTACAGCTTCTTCTGGCCCTGCACTTTGGTCCTCTTCGTCTAGGTGAATGGAAAACTCGATAGCTCTTGTCGTACTCTTCTCAAACATAGCATAGTTTAACGTCGCATCGTAAAATAACTCCCTTTGATAGGAATGGAATGTTGAAGCTTCAAAATTGTTCAAGACATTTCCTTTCATCACGTCGAAACTTTTCTCTTGTCTGGACCGCGTAATTTGCGTTTTCCTTTCTTTTAATGCGAGAAAAATCTTTTCTGTTATGTCAGGAATGCGAAAGCAGTAGGTAACGAGAACTACAAAAATTACTAATGAAATTACCACGAAAGGAATTAAGTGCCACGGGAATGTTAAGGTGGATGTGGTCAAATCAACGGCTGGACTGCTTGGGTCTAAAAGACAAACGTAGAGAATAAAATCAGTATCTGGCAGATTATATTGCCTGTGGTATCTGAACTATTTGGAAACTTCTATGATAGTGCGATCGAACCTTTTCAACAAGGAGAGTGAAGGGCTAAGAGAAGGCTTTATGTTCGCGTTACAAATATGTATATATCTTATGGAGTTTAGCATGAACTGTTTGTAAGAAACTTAAAGGGGTTTGTACACGGGAGTTTGTAGAGAAGTTGCAACTGGTTCTTGTACCAATAACTATACTTCTGCTGAAGAAACAGGAAGAGTATCATGTCTAGTCGAACGTCTCAGAGGTGGTCGTGACATTTCGGAGACAGGCTTACGCTACATTTAAGTTCAAAGCATTTTACTTGGAGGTGAAGGAAGCCTTTAATAAACGCAAAGTTTAGTTTGTTCCGTGCCTTACAGATGGAGACATTCATGCCTGCTTGGACAGATCCAGGACTTTAAGTGGTGGGAGTTCAAGTTTATATCTGAGCTGAGGAAGGGGTATGTGAAGTACGTAGCGAGAAATGTATTTGGCGTAACGAACAGTAGCGCAACAGGTGGGGGGACACTCGGTAGTGCGGGTCCGGAACACGAGATCTTAAAAAACATTCAGCAGACTGGAAGCCTTCAGTAAATAAACACTTTAAACTAGAATAATTACCACCAATGAGTCGTATGGAATTTTCATTTGGTAGCCCAAATTGAGACTTGAACCAACACGCGTTGCCTTTACCTCTCAGACACGAGTTTAGTTACGGGTACTTAACACAATGGAGTAAAATTTCAAAGCTTTCAGTGGCCTTTACGGAGAAAACGAGATATTTCTGACTAACGTTTTGTGGTAGAAACCAATGTAATGAAGTGAGGGAGGGTGGAATTAGCAATTAAACAGCCCCCCCCCCCCCCTCCCCTTCATCACTGGATCTACTCATGCCTGTCCCAGTTCGTCGAGTCTCGAATACCTCCTAAATGCTACGTTATTTAATCACCTGCGTTATCAAGAATACGTTTTTGTCAGTTTTTAGGTGTGGTTAGTTTAACTTTAAACTGAAAAGGTCAAATCTGTAACCAACCTGTTCTTGATGGAGATATAGTGATGGACAGCCTTGACAATGTGGTACTGACTTGAGAAGTTGATATTGGTGATTGTGTGGATGAGCTGGTTTTTATTTCAGTGTCGTCCATCTCGGATCCAGCGGTCCGTTCAAAAGACACTTTATAGTAACTTGTTTCTTGTGCTGTTACCATTTGTAACAATTCGGTGGCATGAATGCTTTCTCTGTTTGCTTGGTGCTTGCTGGATTCCATTGCCCTTGGCCAATGTACGCTGCTTCCTTCACAACACTCCCTTGTGGTTGACGTCGCTATTGTATGTGAGATGGAAATGGTTCCTATATGTCCGGGGTCTGTTTTTGTTTCTACAGTCTTCCTTCCCCAGGATAATACGGAATTGACCTGGTAGGATTCTGAGCGAGAACTAGAAACACCCACGTGACTTCCGGATTTTGAAGTTGTCGCGGATGTTCGTGAAGAGTACACCATTTCTGTATTTTGACTATCGGACGACGGAAAAGCAACATTCAAGTGCGAAATTTTCGAAAGGGTTGACAGCGAAAATGTGTGATCGCTTGATCTTGTGACATCTTCTGAAGGTTGCTCAGTCGAATGCAAAATTTCCCTTTTAGTTGCCTGCGTGAATATGAGGTTGCTTGATCTTGTGACATCTGAAGATAGTGTAACTCCATTTTGAGGAGTATTTAGGGATGAGCTATGCATGGCATTGAAGTTGCTGAGTATCGTTTCAGACATATTTACTGTATAGCGCCATGTAATTTTGCTTTGGTTCTGAGTAGGTGAAATGATTGTCTCTCTTGTGAACAGCAGCGGAGAAGTTTGAGTTGCACGTACCGTCAGAGGAGATGAGGAACCTAGGAGCAAAGGAGATGACGTAAACCTAGGATCATTCTGCTTATATAACTTAACAGTTTGATAGGTGTAACCCTAAACGGAGACTAGTGGTTGAAAATCAGTGAGTCTAGAAAACCTTGCGTGGTAGCTAACGGTGGCTATCAGTTGCATATCATAAGAATAAAACTATGGTAAATCGAGCAACAAAAACGTGCAACTAGTTTTGCAACATTGCTGAAAAATGAGTTTAAAAGCGATGTTGCGCATTTTACCACCCGCGAATCAAACCTGCCTTGAAACGAATCACGCAGAATCAGGAGGTTGCAGGTTGCGGATCAATATAGGTTTCTGGGAAACTGCCCACCTACCCTTCCCCTAAGTCATCATTTTGCCTTAAGTGAGAAGCAAGTATTAATGTTAGCTAGGGGAGGGGTAAGTGGGCAGTTTCCCAGAAACCTAAATTGCAGTTAGTGGAGGGTAGTTCTGGGTTTTTGCAACAACTATACGGAACTTGAACAAAACAATTTGCTGGTTTTAGTTGCCCGATTTACCGTAGCTTAAGCTAGGGCCTATGTGAAATCCAACGAGCTTCAACTTCACCTATTTTTATTCTGATATCTAATGCTTTCTTTTCCTGTAATAGTTACCTGCTTGCTGACAAAACTGGCCAAGCGTTGTCAAGGTCAACATGCTATTTTGAGTTTGAATACGTGGTAAACTTGATGCTTCAACACTATTATAGATACTTGGTAACAACATGACTGATGACTGAAAGCTAGTCTGTTTAACATAACTCGTGGTAGTGGGATAAACGCTTTCCCCATCGATATTTGGCCTCCACGTCGATTGCATTGTGCTTTGAGCTGTTGAAAAAGATCTCCTTTGAGAGCTGTTGTGGTGATAATAGCCGGATATGCTACGGGTCCTCCATGTGGACTGTGCCATAGTCCTTCTAGTATGGCCTCTCACAATTGACGATTCTTGTATCCTATTGTAGTAAAGCTTCAAATTGGTTGAAGTGGGTAACGTGGCTGAAGTCAGGCTGACATGCGCAGTAGAAACGGGTTCTGTACGTCCTTGGTCCATTTTGGTTGCCCAAGTCTTCGTTCTCACTGATGATTCCTGATTGGCTGGGTGTGGTTCAAAAGACGCCGTAGTGGGTAAAGTGTGTAATGTTATTCCAGTGCTTTGATTCCTCCATGCTATATGTGACCGCTGTGATGTCTGCGACTCTGACCCTATCAAGCTTGTTTGTAAAGACGTAACGTGATGTCCTTGGTCCGCCTGTGAACTGCAGTTTCCCAAGATTGTGGAAGAGAGGAAAGGAACAGTATGCGATGTGCTCAGAATCTGCTGTCCTGTTTGCCCAACTTTAGAACTGGAATCTCTGACTAAGTTGCTATTCATACAACTCCGAAAGCCACTGTCAACGCAGCCAACGCAGCCACAGCTTCTTATACTGACTATCTGCCTTCTATCAACCGATAACAGTTGTCAACTTAGAAGAAATCACAAACTTTACAAGCGTCTTTTTTAACCTCTATCGTGTGACATGGAACTACTCAACGCATCAGATACGTCTAGCGTAGAAAGCGTACTTATGTGTATTGCCTGAGAATCTGCAGTTGTTTTGTTTTGTAAAGGTTTTAAAAAAAGCGAAAGATAGCTGGAAGATATTCTAGTGCTTATGGTATGCGAATCTTTTTTAGAACTGTAGGTTTCAGTAACTGTTCGAAGGACTAAGGAAACAGCATTTAAACCAAAGCTAGAAATTTCTACAACGCTTTGTCGTTTTTGTGCAGTTGTAGGAGAAGAATCTCTTTGTAACTTGCTATCTGGTGTAAAGGGTTCCGACAACACTTGCCAAGATGTGGACGAATTCGATAGGTAGGTGGAAGTATAGCTTGCCGAAAAAGTTCGAGAGATCGCGGTTGAAATTCCCACAATCGGTTGTCCGGTTTGTTTTGCGAACGCTTTCGAAGGTGTGTAGGAATTTAATAGGTGGCGGGATGATGCATAATACGTCGAATCTAATTGAGAATTTACGTTTTTAAGTATTGTATCTGAGTGTAAGAAAGCAGCGTGTATACTAGTGCTTGAAACCCCTATAATATGATACCTTGTTAGTGCAACTGTCGAGATAGAATCTTTAAGTAAATTGCCCTTTGATGTCAATGGTTCTGTAAACACATGCCAGGTTATTGAAGAATTTGATGGATAGCTGGAAGATATTTTTGAGATAGAAGCAGTTGAATCTGTCTGAGAATTGAAGCTTTTAAATTTTGTTCGAGAGAGAAAAGAAGCACTTGAAATTTCCTTATTTTGTTGCCCGGGTTGTCCAACGGTAGAGATAGAATCTCCGAATAACTTGCTTTTTAGTGTTAAGGGCTCTGTCGATAGACGCCAAGGTTTTGAAGAGTACGAATAATAGCTGGTAGCTATTTTCCAAATTTCGTCGGTTGAATAAATGTTATGGCTTGAAAAGTTAGCAGGGATAATTGGTCTGTCATTCAGAATGGATTTGTTTGACGTATGTAGTTCGTCCAGTGTGGAATGTGAAGTTGTCACATGTACCCCTTGAACATCCAAAGTCATTCTGTTTTGCAAGTTCTTTGTTGAACTTGTGGACAAAATGTTTCTTTGGGAAGATAGCGTGCTTGATGGCCTTGTCAAGGGAGTGGAAAAAGAGAATTTAAAATAGGGCGTGGCATCCGAGTCGCCGAGAAAGGGTGCAGCACCAGAATTGCTAGGAGAGAAAGCTACGCTGGAATAACTTGACGAAGTTGTAGCTAACTGCTGGACTGGAGAGTCGTGGCTCGACGTTACTGTTAAAAAGGACTGTAGCATCATGACATAAGTGGATGGTGCAAAGTGACTTTTTGGGCTTGAAATTGACGCCACGCTCGCCGAACCTTTTGAATAAAAATAACAGTTGATTATTACCACACTGCTACTTAATATTATTTCAAACAGTTCCAATTGGAAAATAAGTTGCAGCCGTCACATTTCAGTGGATAGGAGAACATAAATATTTTTGCGTAGACATTAAATGCCTGGTATGCCTTTGAGAATAGACTCATTTGTGGGACTTGACCTTTATCCTGTTAACTGGAAACCGTTCATACCCTTACTAAAGCAGACTAAAAGTCCCCATTTCAGTGAAAAGAATAAATTGATTTACCTGGACAAGGGGTTAGCACGCATTCCGTTGTCTCCCATGGAACGCCAATTTCCGAACAGTTCTTGCCAGTAAAAGCAGGTGGTGGGTTGGTGCAGCTACGAGATCTGTTCCTGAACCCAGTTCCACAAGACACGTTACACGCAGACCAGTTGGACCAGCTGCTGTAGCCACCGTCAATTGGTACTGCAACGGAATTGAAGTTTTAGGGCTAACTTTGAGGTCAAGGACCCACTCCAGAAACTACAAAGGAAATGGGTACAGGCTATCGGCGCAACGATTTCTGGGATCGTGTGGGTGGACAAGCGTTACTTCTGATTGGTTAATGGTTGCCTTGGAAAATATCGACTAACCATAGCTAACGCTTGTCCACTCAAACGATCCCATGAATCACTACACCTGAAGCTTGTACCCATTCTCCCTTAAGTTTTTGAAGTGGGGTGTTACAGTAATATGGGCATCCAAGAGAGGATAAAGGGGACAGAGAAGGCATCCCCCATACACACCCTATTCCATAGGTAATTCGTCTCGAGTTATTTTTAGAATCGGGATAAGGTTACCTCACGTGCTGCGTGAATGTTTCGTGGAGGTTTCGCATGACTAAACGCCGTGCGAAACATGTCGGGCGAAAGGCAATGAAAGCGTAAAGAGATCGAGAGCATTCCTGAATATTGAAGCGAAATGAGTCGGCGCTCATCTGGCAAAAGGGAATCGCTGGACTCTTTAACAACCAGTGAAATCAGTTTAACTCGAAGTTGTCGTAACCTCAGTGCTTTAATAAAATGAGAAATTTCGCCGGTCTATTGAAACTTGTCGTTTGTACAATAAAGCAAGTAGGACGCCAAGTGTTATTTTTGTTGAATAATAAAAGACTAATAAAAGAATAAATATCAAACCAGAAATTGCTCTCTTCAAACTGTAAATTATAAATGATCCTGAGAGAATATTCAGCGTGTTAAGGATTTCCCTGCTGTACTGTTAGCTCTATACAAGAGAGGAAGGGCGATTCTTTTTTAATTTCCATTTCGCTGACACAGCCTTAGCAGAAATCTCTCTGTAGTCGTTTCCTTGGACAAAACGAATAGCAATATCGCTCTCCGCGTCTTCCGCCAGTTTGTTCTGCGTCAAATTCGTGAAGGACGCGTGGCTCCAAGCGTGGGTCATCCACGCGGAAAACATTCGCGCTATGTGTTTAGCTGTTGTCTAATCCCCCTTGAGATCTGTGGTGTTAAAAATAACTCGCGACGAATTACCTATGGAATAGGGTGTGTATGGGGGATGCCTTCTCTGTCCCCTTTATCCTCTCTTGGGGCATCCCCATTCCCTAAACCCTAGTGATATTATAGGCATCCCCTTCTCATATTACCTAAGCGATTTGGGTTAGTGTTAGGGTCACAGGAGATGCCTATATCACTAGAATTTTGGGAATGGGGATGCCCAAAACGAGAGGATGCCATGTCACTGTGTGTTGAATTTCAAACATGAGTAGGATTGCTGCAAGGGATTCTATGTGGACTATTGCTCATTTTCATCCTTTCTGTTATGTTGTGATTATATTTTGAAATTACTTTTGTGTTTGTAGAGTGGAACAAGCGTCCCTGTAATAAACGAGGTTATGTAAAGATATCGGGTTCGTTCGAAAAGGTCACACCATGTTATATAACTGTTCATGTTTTCAGCATGAAAACTTTTAGAATAACGACCACTTTCAAATCCTGCTAATTTAAGTTATACAAATCAGTTATGAATAACAAAAAAAAAAAACAGCGAAGAAAGAAGCAACTAAAATTTCCCCAACCATCCTTCTACAAGGGATTTCTCTTTGAAGAAGGCCCATTTGCCTATTTCTTTATTATAATTGACATGTTTTCTGCTCTCGCTATATGAGTATATTAGCCAATTTTAGGCTCCATACGCCTTCTAACTTTTTTGTCTGCTTTCCTCAAAGTGGATGGTCTGAACAGAATTCAATAATTAATTGAATATGAGAAACTGACAGTCACTTACTGCAGTTCGAGATTAAACAGCTTCTCGTCTCATTGTCTGCCACATGACCACAAACCAGTTCCAGTTCACTCTCTGGTAGAGGATTCAAGCATGTCCTGTACCTAGTCTGGTTTCCATGGTGACACGTCTGGGAACATTCTGTCCAGGTGGTCCACTCTGTCCAGTCTCCTCTGACTAACGATAAACGAAGCCACTGCTCATAAAAACACACTCCAGCACTAAACACAAAGACTTGGCTCTTTAACGTGTATTTTGAGGTGCGTTTCATATCACCTGTTAGTCGTGAGTGGTTGATCTGAAAATATTAGTGCAGGTGCTGGCAACATAAGAGTTCATCATCAAGTTATCTTGTGTGCCAGGGATCCGGCCAGAGTGTTGCGGTTTCTTTCTTTCTTCCGTTCTTGAGAACACTTTCATTGTAATCCGTAAAACCCTGTGCAGGTGCATGTGATGCTAATCCATATGAAAATGAGTCACCATTGATCTCCTAATTATTTGTGCTAAATAACGATACTCATTATCTTCTTATTACGACCAACTCTCTTCTAACCGACACCTCCCTAAAGCCAACACCTATTGTAGCCCCGTAGTGGAGGATGCAGACTTTCAGATAAACGGGGGGGGNCATTTAACCGGAAGTCCCTCTTCATTTTGCCAAACTACCGCTGACTAATTAATTCAGTAACGAAAACTCACCCTCCCTCTACGCCCGTGGAAAATTGTCACTAGTAGTCTCTCTTATACTCAGAGTTCTTGTTTTGATCCACAATGCCGAAACCTAATAACCAAGGTAAGAGAAGCTTTTTAGTACATGAACATATACATCTTAGAATGGCTTAAGTGACAGGTTTGATCCACACAACAGAAAAGAGCAGGAGCCTGCATAAGTGACGGAGATTGATGTGACTTAATTTTTGGGGGTTCACTCTAATTTATGAGATCTTACAAATGTAGCGAATTTCTTGTTTATCGGACTTGTAGCCCTGAGTTTTGAATTTTTGACGTTATGCGGTAACCATTCGTTGCGATACAAAGTGGTTTTTAGCTCACATATATAATTGTTTTACTCCCAGCGAATTTAATCGTACAAAACACTTTCAAAAATGCCCCGTCGGGCTGCAAAATGTGACAATTGATGCACATTGTAATGCACTAGTCAACGACCCCCAAAACCCCCTGGGAATAGTGGGGAAATTTACAACAGTATCCTCATAATTTAACGGATTTACCTCAGGCCCTCGCAGGGGCGTAGCTAGGGGGGGTCCTGGGGTGCCCGTGACCCCCTCTTGGTAGGCCTTCTTTTGAGCAAACAACCTACAATATTCAGGTGGCGAAAACGCCATGACAATATCTTGGCTGTAAAAGCCATTTTTGAAAAGCCCACTTTTTCAACGGCTCTTGTCTTAAGTTAATATGGGCGTGGAGGTCGACATGACAATCTGGTGAGTAGCCTCTGTAATCCCCCCTTTGAAAAATGCTGGCTACGCCCCTGATATGCTTCAAAGTCCTTAGGCGCTTTCCATTCAACCAAAATTCCGGTTTGAATTTCGGAAATTCCGTGTGCCCAATGGAACATTCCGGTTGCACACACCCGACCCAAACCACCACACGTTTGGTTATTGTTCTCGTAAGCAGGATTCAAAAGAGCCGTTCTGGGGACAACAATTTTGTCAAATGGAGAGGAACATTTCCGTCCGACCGACCGAAATGAACAGACCGGTCAAGGGACCACCTTCAAAGCTGGTTCCAAATATTCCGGTCTGACAGAACTGAAATGGTCTGTGCCGTTTGATTTCTAACCGAAATTTTCGGAATTTGGGCTGGATGGAAAGCGCCCCTTATCTTGAATTAACATACCCAAACTGACAAAGGGAAATCAAATTTCAAACAAGGATAAAATCATACTAATCTCGTACCCAGATCTCACTCTGTCTTCATGGCCGTGGGAGTTTTGGGTACAAGATTACGCATGTACATATAAGTGTATCTTGCCAGTATTTTTGTTGTTGTTGAATATCTTCTCATCTGCAAACACACCAAAGAAGCCCCATAACTAAGAAAAAAAGTGGTATCCAACCTGGCGTAGGCACACAGGGATACCAATGTGGCGAAACTGTCGGAGGGTACCCTCGGTAGCTGACTTTAATGATCAAGACCTTGCTTGTGTTAACTCCTAGCTACTTTATTTCAAAGTATGTTTCTTTCCACCTCCCCATTCGGTCACCTTATGAACGCCCACCCAGTCTAACACGTACAAATTGGAATCTGAGCAAAAACATATCTGCATAACTAACAATAGGTCTTTTTGAAAAGTTCTTAGCTGGCCGGGTGGTTTATGTCTAATGTCTCTTGTATAAATCTAAACGTCTTCCGTCAGATGATTTCAATACATTTTCTTCATGATTTTGGTAATCTGACATTACTTAGTTTTTGATTGTTTACTTACCAGAATGCCTTAGATTAAACCCTCGTGAGCTGGAACTGTCAGTGACGTTGTCAGAAACAAAACGTAACAGCATTTGTGTTCCGGATGAACTGACGCTCTGACCTGCTCCGGATCTCCCACAAAACTTTGCGAGCACTGGAGATGCTACGCTGTCTCCATCTCTGATCTCTAAGTAATCTCCTTCGCATTGCGTCTGTTTTAAGAGAACCAAGTACGCTTAGGTGCTGTCCGCACTGACTATACCGGGTAGCTTTTTGTGGCGCCTAAAAAACCTATCCAGTAAAGTGTGGACAGCACTGGCCGAAGGTTACAATAAGTCGTTCACACACATCGAACATCGTGCTGGCGCGGTTGGCCGAGAAGGTTTGGAACACTAAATTCCAGTTCTTACTTCTGAATACCCTAAAATTCCGAAAATAAGCCCCTCCAAATATAAGCCCCCGGGGGCTTGTACTTGGAAAATTGCCCTCAAATACAAAGTAAAACAAGGCAAAAACGGTAAATTTACTTCCAACTATAAGGCTAGCCCAATCGATTTTGAAACGTAAATTTCCCTCCGTACATAAGCCCCTCCGAATATAAGCCCCTCCAAAAATAAGCCCCTCAAAAAGGGCCTTTGAAAAATATAAGCCCGGGGGCTTATTTTCGGAATTTTACGGTACTTACTTCCGTCTCAGTGGGTTCCAGGTCTCACTCCTACTTATTTACTTCAGCGACAGGACGGATAGTTAGTTGCTCACACTACATGTATACCAAAGTACGGCACGAAACCGATCCGATATCTGACGCTCCACCTTAGAGATCGACGCGGCACGACACAGCTTTACTAGGTCACAGAAATCGCGCCGCTCGCGCCGTTCTTGTGTATGAACAGAAGCCCTATTCAGTATGATTTTTGCGGCGGCGCAAACCGAGCTATCCGGTATAGCGTGAACACAGCCTTAGTTATCCATCGTTAATTATAAGGCAACTAACTCAGTCAAATTGCTGATACAACAAACTCCGTATTGAAATGTTATCTGCAGTCTCCCGCCCTCTTTCACTCCCTAGCAGAACTGGACAAAGCCTCTATTTAAAAGCATTGCCAAAAGTCGCAACGTAAGATTTCGTCGAGATGCTCAATAGTTTGAACTACGTAAAACATCTCCGATCGTAATCAGTGGCTTAGGGTGAAAGGGTTAAACTAGAGGATATTACCCTTGACAAATCCCAGTAAAATATTGACTTGCTATAGACTTGCTACAAGTCGACCTCTCATAATTTCTCAAAGCTTGCTTCAATGAGGTCGCGACAAAGCAAGCGACGAAGTCGCGAGGTCGACTTGTTTCGCCCGAGTGGACTTTAATGACATTATAAATTCACGCGAGAAAAAAACAAATATACGGGTGTTTACCCAGAGCTTCTAAGGTAGCCTGCGTAGCATGGCGGTTTTGTCGAGGCGCACAACGGAGCCGTGAAGTCCAAGGCGCCATCTCCCGTCCTTAAAGCTTTTTGGCGCCCAACCCAAACTGCCATGCTACGCAAGCTACTTCTAAGTCTACGACATGCTAAAACCCTCAGTCTCCTATTGGTCAATTTTCATGACGTCACCGCGGTGGAATTTTCGATCGGTGAATTTCGCACCAAATAGATATGAAAGGTCCTTTAAAATGACATAACCAACCAGGAAAAAAAACAGAGGACTCCGGAGAAAGTCTATGTGAAACGGTGTTTTTGTTAGAAGTGTGTACCGTTAACCGGCAAAGCAACTTCTTCGATTCTTTCTGTTGTTTTCAGACCTTGGGGAACCATTAATCACGTAGTCATCATTTGAAGCAATAACTCATTCCCAGCTTCCTACTGGCGAAGAGAGAGGGTACCCTATTCAAGCGTGATTCTTTTCTAGCTCGCTATACTTCCAGTAGACCTGCTCCGTTCTAAACCTCTTATTTCACTGGTCCCCTTTAATCTGCACCTCCATTGTTTTCAGGGATAGGGGCATTGTTATGTGACAATCCCTATTGTTTTCCCAGCTATTAAATCAAAAACAAGCTTTCAAATAGGTGTTGAGTCGCCCTATACTTCGACCGGCGAGGTGCTGTTTGTGAGAGATTCTCGCTATTTCTTACCTGGAAATCGTCGATGGTTATCGTAATTCTATTTCCACTTGAGACAGTCTTGATCCACGTTAAAGTGGTGTTTGTAGGATACGTAAAAGGATAGTTTGGTGAGGATACAGTACCGTCCCATTTTGTGAGAAGTACTGGCGCAGTCGCTGAACCAAAAAAGAAGCATAGAACAGTAATGACCCAAGTGCTCTGCGAAGTAAATATATTACAAAAGCTCGGCACATCTCCGAGTATCTTATCTAAGTATGTATTGCTACGCTTCGTGATTGGCTAAAAGATTTTGCGTCATTCCCTCAACCAATCAGAAGCGAAACCAAACCCATCGTAACTTACCCGCGCTCTTGTTCCCGCGTTTGACGCGGATTGCATAATGGCTCCCACTCAGGCTTTCTCTTTTGCCCCGTTGTCCACGTCAGGATTGAAGGAGCCAAGAAAGCCAAGGGACTATCCTGACTGGCTCGGGAATCTGATTGGCTGAATCACATTTTTGCTCATTTTTGAGGTTTTGGAAAACTGGCCACCTAACCCCCTCCCCCCCCCCCCCCCCCCCCCCCCCAACGCCAAATTCCCCCTTAAGGCAGAAAAAAAATT